TAGTTCAATGGTGATGACCTATTGCCGCTTTTAAAGGTCGGAACAATCTTACCTAGCTTCCATTTAATGGGGATACAGCTTGACGTTAATGATTGGGAAAATAGCAAAGCGAGCATGGCACTAATTGGTTCTTTGGAATTTTTCAGCATTTTAGAGTTGAGTCCGTCCGGTCCCGTAGCAGATGATAGTTTCATTTTATTAATTATGTTCATTATTCCTTGAGCTGTAAATATTATCGGGGGCATTTGTTCATTAATGACCAGATCCGAGGAAATGGGGGTGCTCATGCTGGCTTCTTTCGTGAAAACCGAGGAGAACGCCACGTTGAGTACTGCGGCTGTCTCACTATCGCTAAGTTCTACGTTTTGATCGTTATACAATCTTATTGGGGTGGCAGGAGATGGGTTTATAGCTTTCCAAAATTGTTTTGGATTAGTTTGTAGCATATTAGGCAATGTTTTCTCAAAAAAATTTCGCTTGGCAATACGAATTGTTTTCGTTAGCTTCTTTACTGAGCCTTGATATGCCTGCCATGCGGATGGACTATTTCTGGCTTTGGCTTTTCTAAACAGTCGCTTCTTTCTGCGTATTTCTTTGCTAATTGAGCCAGAAAACCACGGTGCCGATTGTTTGCTTTTAATTTTTACTGTTGGAACATATTTATCAGTTAATTCTTGAATTTTCTCCGAAAACAAGTTCCAGTTGTGATCTACAGAGCGGTCATGGAAACCTTCTTCAAAAGAAAGGATGAAGCTTTGTAGCTCAGTCGTGATTTTTTCGTAATTTTCCTTGTCGTAAAGTCTTATTCGTTTTGCTACTGGTTTTTCTGTCTGAAATGCTGAGTGAAAAAATGCTAGGATAACTTTATGATCACTTATTTCCTTTAGGTAATGTACTGATTGGATACCGCTCGGGTCGGACGTTAGAATTAGGTCAAGAATGTTTGCGGTATTTGTGGTCTGTCTGGTAGCTTGGGTTATGATTTGTGTTAACTGAAAATCCTGTAGGATGCTTAAGAACTGGCCGGGTTCACCGATAGTTACGCGATATTGGTCACTCCAATCAATGGTAGGGTAGTTAAAATCACCGCATATTATTAGGTTAGCTAGGGGATACTTTTTGCTTATGAAGTCAAGAGTCGTTAAGGAGCCTGCAAAAATCGGCGTCTGGTTGTGGGGGGCGATAGCACGCTCCAATTATGGTAAGTCCTGATAGCGTTCGACATGCTACGTACATTATCTCTAGGGGGCTCTCGTGTTCTATTTTAAAGTGAATAATCGAATTCTTTATTCCAATAAGAACTCCACCACCTCGGCTTTGCAAACGATCATGGTGGTAAACGGCAAATCCAGGCTGTACGGAGCAACTTCCGCGTCAGAAATATGCGATGAAAGCCATGTTTCGCTAAGAACGACAATATCACAATCACATGATTGAATGACGGCGGATACTTCTTCACGCTTTGGAATTATATTGCGAATGTTAGTGCAAAGAATCGAGTATGTGACGTCGTTAGGGCGTAGCGACGTGCGTTTCGGTGTGTTGCAGGGGTGTGATTTAGAAAGACAAGGCTCCGTTATATTATTTTATTGCTAGCTCGCCCGTGCTGTTCTTTCTTTAACCGCCTTATCAGCGGTGTCATAGTAGTAAGTTTTCTTGTCGATTATTAGTTTTTTGTAGCGTAGCTTGAAAGGAACCTTCTGTTCTCGGGCGAAACGAACGAGCTCGCGATGTATTGAACGAGTGGCGGCACAGAAATCCTCAGAGATACTGACTGTTGTGCCCTTGAGCTTGAAGGCCTTAGATAAAATATCATCTTTAGTCTTAAAAAAAGAGAAATTAACAATAATGGGGCGTTTTTTGTCACGAGCAATTTTGCCGATACGATGTGCTCTGTGAATATCTTTAGGTTCGAGTGCTATCTTCAAATTTTTATTGCAAATATCTGTGACCAGTTTTTCGCTATCGCTCCAGGATTCAGACTCGCCTTCACTGATGCCATAGAAGACAAGGTTGCAGCGACGCAACCTATCCTCTGCGTCATTCAACCTTTCCTCAATGCCGGCGATGCTATCTGATGTCTGGGCGGATGAGCGGAGTAGAACGTCTACATCAGACCGCATATCGGGTAGCAATTTGCACTGGTCTTCCGTCTGCGCAATCCGCGCAACCAAATCGGCAAGGTTTTTGTTCCGTGCTAGTCAGGCGAGTATTGATAGCCTTCAGTTCAGCCAGGATGGTGGCCTGGCCGGCTTCTAAGGTTGTTAACAAAGCATACATCGTCTGGTCACTCTGGGTAGTAGAGCTACGTGTGGTTGGACCTGGGTTTTCCTCTATGTCGCCTGACAGCAACAACAGCTCATGCACAATGTTCGCACAATCACACAATAACAACGCAAGGCAGCGGGGGCTCGGCAGCTGCACCAGGTAACGATTGCTAGTCTTCTTAGCAAAAACAGAATCGTAATGGCGTACCTGCGCGATAAACGCAAACGGTGTTACCCGCTGGACCATGGCGCAGCTGACGAGCCCACAAAGCGCCGGTTGCAGGGTGTGGTCCTTTATAGGCGATCGAAAGGCTGATGTTGATGATCCTGGAGATGCCGTAGGTTCCAAGAGTCCCTCGGTAGAAATGATGAAGGCGCCATCTTTCGGTCCAGCTGTTCGGTCTGGTGTTCCCAGATACAGTGAGCATCCGGCAGACGGCGCATGCGCCACTGGCTCCTGGATTTCCGGGGCTTCCAGTGTGCAAAGCGCATGTCGCATTGCCGCAGGCGTCGACGAGGCTGATTGCCGCAAAGACCTGCGCGATAAACGCAAACGGTGTTACCCGCTGGACCATGGCGCAGCTGACGAGCCCACCCCAGCATGTCTGGTCTCTACCATTTTCTTTACATGCCTTTTGGTATCAAGACGGCGCCGGCCGTATTTGCGCGCCTGATAAGACATGTACTGGGTGGTGTCGAAAACGTTCATCATTACTTCGACGATGTTGTCATTGCTACCGACACATGGCAAGAACACATCGACACCCTCAGAAAAGTGTTTGACCGAATCAAACAAGCCAATCTCACGATCAAGCCAAGGAAATGCGAAATAGGAGAAAGCAGCCTCGTGTTCCTGGGACATCGCATCGGGAAGGCTACAGTCGAATCCCTTCTCAAAACACTGGAGAAGATTCTGGCTGCTAAGCGTCCTGCAAGCAAGAAGGCAGTACAGTCATTCCTTGGCTTGACTGGCTATTACCGGAGGTTCATACCAAACTACGCCGAACTAACAAAGCCATTGACAGACCTCACAAGGAAGGGACAAAGTCACAATGTGTCGTGGGGTCCAGCTCAAGAAGCAGCATTCACAACACTAAAGGAGAAGCTCGGTGAGGCGCCAATACTCCTCGCTCCCAACCTTTCGAAGGAGTTTGTACTTCGCATAGACACCTCGAATACGAGCCTGGGTGCGGTATTGCTTCAGATGGGAAACGATCAAGTGCTACACCCTGTCGCTTACGCTAGTCGTAACTTATTGCCCAGGGAGACGCGCTATTCTACAATCGAGCGGGAATGCCAATACTCCTCGCTCTCAACCTTTCGAAGGAGTTTGTACTTCGCACAGACGCCTCGAATACGAGCCTGGGTGCGGTATTGCTTCAGATGGGAAACGATCAAGTGCTACACCCTGTCGCTTACGCTAGTCGTAACTTATTGCCCAGGGAGACGCGCTATTCTACAATCGAGCGGGAATGCCTCGCACTTGTATGGGCCATACAGAAGTTTCATATTTACCTGTATGGAAAGCCGTTCATTGTGCAGTCCGACCACCAGCCCTTACAGTATTTGAATTCTGCCAAACACCTGAACAATAGGGTGTTAAGATGGAGTCTCCTTTTGCAAGAATATTCCTCTTATGTTCAATACATAAAAGGCTGTGACAACGTAGGAGCGGACTACATGAGTACATGAGTCGTGCTTAACATGTAGCAACAAACTGAACCGCACAAACTAGAAAGCGTGCTGTGCATTAACTCTTTTTTCCCGCGCGTCTCTCTTAGAATAGTTGTAAACAACTTTCTTGAAAAAGGGGGTATTGTCATAATATATGGCACGCGGGGTTAAAGTATACAAAAAACAAAACAACGCACCGTGCGGTGGCGACTTGTGTGTTGATCCTTTTGAATGTGTGCGCCGTGCGGGGGCGAATCGCGTATGTGCCGTGTGGTGGCGAAGAGGACGGCGATCGGGTGCGCGGCATGCCTCGAGACAGCGTGAGCAGTGCGTGGGCCGTGCGCGATAGTCGGAATTCCAAGGCTGGGCTATCCTTCGCTGGGCGTCCGGGGTCCATGGGAGAACCCGGAGCCCTACCTCCTGCTGCCTCAACTTAGAGCGCTCCCGCCTGTTTCGCTAGGAGGAGATCGGGCCAGGGAACGTGCACGAGGCCGGGCCAAGGCCTTGACGCTGTGTGCAGACGGGCACACTCAGGGTTCCGCCCACGAGCACGCACAGGCCGAGGTCGTCCACCGTGGAGCGGGTCCCTTGGGCGCAGTGTCCCGGCATCAACTGCCGCGGAGTGGACCTCCGGGACTTCACGCGGCCAGACCAAGAACCGAGCTACGGCATCGGACAGACGGTCTACGCACGACGTCTTCGACTCGGCGACCTCATCGGCTCCGACAAAAAAAAAAAAAAAACTGTACGCTACTGCTTGACTATTTCGTGTAGTACCCCTTATGTCGAACGTAACTGACTATTCGTTGAGTCCTGTCGTTGTGTAAAGATGTCCTACGTGTTTTTGTCCACTTGCGTGCTGCATCATTTTTTCTGGAGCGAATCCTGAACCCAAACATAACATCACAAATAGATGTTTTCTGTTGTGTGTAAACAAAAATTACAGCAGTCTGCTTGGATGTGTCAAGGAAGTTTCTTTTGAAAATGCTGACGAGTGGCAGTGCAGCAGAGATGAAAGCCGAGGGCGCATAATGGCATTGCTGTTTTGTGTCTTTTCAGTTCTTGCTGAGCGTAATGCCTTGGCCGTCAGCCGTAGTCCGTTTGTGGTGCACCTGTTCTACTGCTTGCAGACACCCACCAGCGTGCACTTGGTGAGTGTTGACCGGTTGAGCTCCACCACACATTTTGTAGCCTTGCGTTAGCCGCACTTCACATGCATCTCTTGAGAGTTAATGTCTTATGTTGACTAAAATGAAGGCACTTTCACTGTGGCTATTGCAGTCCTTTTGGCAGTAGACGTAGTCTTTAGGGAACACTTGGAGTCAGTATTGTTACTGTTAAAGGGGCCTTGTGATGCTGTTTCATCTGAATACTGCACCACTGGAGTTTGTACAGTGCCGAAAGCTGAGATGAACATGAATAGAATGATCGAAATCGGTACATGGTAACGGTAGTTATTATCCTTCAAACTTCAAAACCCTAGCAGATGATGAGAGAAAATGTTCCCTCTCGAATTTCACTTTTCCACTGATGTCAAAGGCTGCTTCCAATCACCCCTTGCCTCTCACAGAGACGTACTGGATGACTCACCTTGTGGTGGCCGTTGTGCAATGCTTCTAGCGTCATTTTTCAATCTTTTTTACACTGCCATAGTTAAAGATAAAAATATTTTTGTATCTGAGAAAGTATATAAAGTTCTTTTATAATTTTTAGCGCACAGTAATGTGGCCTATCTGGGACCATATTGTCACGAACAAAACAACACAAAACCTTGAATCGGCACAGCTTTGTATAGTGCCCTCAACTTCAAGAAGAACTTTGTAGGTAACGTTGCGGAGCCGTTGTACGATCTTATGAGGGCCAAAGTACCGGCGCAAAAGTTTCTCTAAGTGACCGCATTAGCGAACTGGTGTCCACACCCGCACTTTGTTACTTGGTTGGTACAAGACGTCTCGACGAAGGAGGTTATAAGCATACGTCGTCCCTGTTGCTGATAGCAAATACGCATTTGTGGGAGCTGGCGCACTTCTTCGGCATGTTTAGCGAATTCAGTAGCATTAGTGTCAACATTGAAACAGTTAGTGATTGACAGTATCACATTCAACGTTGTTACAGCTTTGTGGCCATGCAGCAAGTAAAAAGGGGTGAAGCCGGTAATTTCTTGTATGGTGGTATCATATGCAAAGGTAACGTATGAGAGGACGTCGTCGTAGTTTTTGTTGTCGATGTCAGCGTACATGGAAATCATGTCTGTTATCGTTTTGTCTAGTTTCTCTGTGAGCCCATTTGTTTGGGGACGCTAAGCTGTTGCTTTACGGTGAGCGGTACCACTGAGCTGCATGATATCTTCCGTAAGCTGTGCTGCATATGTCGTGCCCCTGTGAGTTATCACCACTGTCGAAGCACTGTGGTGGAGTACAATGCTATGTACAAAGAAGTTGGCAATACCGGTTGTTGGGCCTTTTGGGAGAGCTTTGATTTCAATGTATGTCGCGAGGTGGTCTGTGGCAACAGCAATCGAGCGATCACTGGCTCTAAACGTGGAGAATGGTTTGAGAAAATCTATTCCAACTCGCTGAAGAGAAGTCGATGGAGGAGCAACGGGATGCAGAAATCCAGCCGGACACGCGGGTAGTGTCTTGCGTCATTGGCAGTTGCGGCACATTTTGACATACTGCTTCTTCGTCATTGCGAAGGTTGGGCCAGAAGTACCCCTGGCGTATATGCGAGAGCGTCTGTGTGAAGCCCGAATAGTCTGATTTTAGGTCGTCATGAGAGACATGTAAAATGTTGTCACGTATGGATTGCATGCACAACAAGGCAGTAGGCAGTCGCGGTTGAGTAAAAAGCTAATCATAGAGGACGCTATTGTGAAAGAAAAACTATGATAATGTACTCGCAAACTTACGAGGTAGTTCCGATAAATGGCCCTCAAGATAGTCAATGAGGGGCTGTAGCTCTGAATCGTCGCATTGTTGCTTGCTCATGTCGGACGCTGTGAGAACGGAAAGGAATGCTCGTTCTTCATCAATTTCAGCTTGCAACGGTTGAAGTGGAACACTTAACAAGCAGTCGGTATCTGTGTGCTTGCTTGAACATGATCATCAGGTCGCACTCTTGTAAACGAAGATTTAAGCATGTAAGACAGCCAGATGGATCCTTGAGATTGGCCAGCCAGCACAGGGATTAGTGGTCCGTCACGACACGAACCAGTCGGCCCTACAGATATGTTCGAAACTTTGCAATGGCCCATACTACTGCAAAGCATTCCTTCTCTGTAGGAGAATAGTTCTTTAAGCTTTTGACAAAGTAAGCAATGACGCGCTGGGCCCCATTTCGCCACTGTACGAGAACGACATCAAGACCAATGTTGCTGGCATCCGTATGCAGCTCAGAGTCACCGTCTTCGTCAAAGTTCCCCAGAATGGGTGGTGTTTGCTAACATTTCCGTAATTCAGAAAACGCATGTTGTTGCTTCTGCTCCCAAACGAATGGAACATTGTCCTTTGTAAGCTGGTGGAAAGGTTCCCCTATGTTTGAAAAATTTGCAACGAAGTGCTGGAGTTCGCGTTTGTTCAAAGGTGTTGGGAAAGAAACAACGGCAAGTGTCTTGTCAGGGTCTGGTCGAATTTCGTCAGAGCTGACTACATGGCCTGAAAATTTGAGCTGATCATAGTAGGCCTTGGAGATGCTGGTCAAAGGTTTCAGGAAAGGCTACTATGTCATCTAAATAGACGAAGCTGCTACTTCAGACCTGAAAGAACCGTATCAATCATGCGCTGAAAAGTAGCGAGCACAAGCCGAAAAGAAGGACCTTAAGTTTATAGAGGTCATCTGGTGTAATAAGGGCTGTTTTTTCGCAGTCTCGCGCTTCAACCTTGATCTGCCAGCAGCCGCTGCGAAGGTCCATTGATGAGAAGTGTCAAACGTGTTGAAGTAGTCCAAAGAAAGTCATCAATGGGGGGTAGGGAATAGACATCCTTTTTCGTAACATTGTTGAGCTTACGGTAGTCAATGCAAAAATGCATCGATCTGTCTTTCTTTCTCACTAAAACCACGGGTGATGCTCATGGGCTGGTGGAAGACTGTGCGATGTTGTCCTCAAGCATTAGTTTGCTTGGTCTGGGATAGTGTATTGCTCCCTACGAGAGATGTGGTAGACACGTTGGCGTACTGGTGTTTCATTTGGGTGTGTGATTAGTTTGTGTTTCGTGATGGGCATTTGATTCACCCTGGACGTTGAGGTAAACAGTTTGCAAAAGAGTCTAATAGGCTTTGAAGGCCAGCCTGTTGAACACTAGACAGTTTTGAATTCAGATCAATTTTAACGTGGGTCTGTGCATCAGCGTGAGAATCTGTGCCATCTTGCAGAACTGTGAGGGAATAAGCAGAATCATTGTATGGCTCCAAATGGGCAATTGCAGTTCTTGGGACGAAATTCTGATATTTGTGGCTGAAATTCAAAACTGGAATATGTGCTGTCTGTGACGAAGGCTGCAAGCTGCGTCAAGCTACGCAAACCTGTCGAGCCAACAAGACTGACAAATTACCCTCAGCGACGCCGAGAATGGGAGTGTCGTCGCCGGCTTCCACGGTGATGAATACACTAGTTTGCGGGGGTAAAGTAGTGAACTCACCTGAAATACGCAACACTGGGGAGTGTGCGTGGTGGCCAAGCCGTCCCAGTTGCTCTTTCGCTGGAAAAGGTCACAAGCAGCTCGCGAAGGTTCATAACGGCTTGTACTCCCAAAGGAAGTCTATGCCCAGTATGATCTGCCTGGAGCAGTATACCAAATGTACCAACTAACGTGGCTTGACGAATTTGTACTCCCGCTGTGCATTTGCCGATCGGCGTGAGAAGATGACCGCCTGCTTTCTGAAGCTTAGGCCCTAGCGATTGCATCATCACCTTGTGAAGTGCAGTAACCAGTTGGCTGCTCATAATCGAATAATCGGCACTAGTTTCGATGAGAGCAGTGATCGGGCGATTATCAACAGTAATGAGTGTGTCGGCTGTAACAATGTCACCGTTCTTAAACGAAGGCTTTGAGGATGAATAGTTGCTGTCATCATCAGTGTCGTCGTTATTGTCGTCGTGGTTGCTGTTGATATCGTCAAGATCGTCGATATTACTGTCGTCATTCTTGTCATTATTGCCATCATCGTTGATGTCAGATTGGTGCTGCGGAAGATGTTTCGAAGTGCGATGGTCAGTGGCCCTACCCTCAAAGGTCGTTGTTCTTAGTTTTTCCAGCTTGAGCTCGGGGGCCAGTTGCCCACAGAAGCGGAAAACATCAGTTAGTGGCTAGATGACATGGATCGTCGAGGAAGTGGTGAATGAGAGTGTCACTTCATTCGATCGGGCACACGGCAGGGATGGCTCGAAAGGTGTGAACTAGTCATACGGCGACGAATGTTGGCTGGACCAATATTGCTGAATCTTTCCCAGCCGCTCTTCCTCACACAGATGACGAGCGTTGGTGTGAAATCCTTGGAGCCCCATTATTCGATAATAGAAAGTTAGATACAAGTGACACGCTTTAGCACAGTGAAAGCAGACTTGTCTATTGTCAGACGTACGCCGCACACTTGGCTTTTCCAGATTCTGTCGGGGGCTCGTGGATTTGTACGTGCAGGCTACAGGCATATATAGCGGGTCTTTAGAACTGGTGCAGCTCTTCTTCAGAGGGCTGATGGTAGCTATGTGTCGTGGGCTGGGCAGGTCACCGCAGTGCTTGCACGTGAGTCGGGACGAAGCGGCCATGGGTCTCACTGGCATGAACTGCTGTGCCGCCTGGTGAACTTTTTCATGGACAATATCGGAGAGGGAAGTTACGAGTGGTTGAAATTTTGTTCTCTGAAGTCGAGTGAGTTCCTCACGCACGACACTACACACAAGTTCACGAAGGGCATCAGTGTCACTAGGCAAAGTTGGGGCAGATGCTGACACCAGAATGGGGTGGTGGTCGTAGAATAAGGAGCGTTGCTGAAGAGCTCGTTCTATCAAAGTCGCTTCGCTGACAAACTCTGCGACTGCTGCAAACAGTTGCTCCTCTACGCTACGCATCAGCAGACACACCTTTTTCGCTTCCGACAGTTTAAATCAGCATGCTTGAAAAGCTGCGACATGTCCTCCACCAACATGGCTACG